TACTTCCCCTTTCCTTTCCTTACCTCTGTGCGAGTCACGAAAAACGTTAGTTTGTTGTGAACGTTAAATCGTTGTCCAAAAGGGGAGACCCATATAGGGCCCATTTTCTTGTAGGTCCCATCCACTGTCCTGTAGGACCCATCCCCTTCATGCAGGGGCGTAGCGAGGGGGGGCGGGGGGTGCGGACCGCACCGGGTGACACCATTTAGGGGGGTGACACCAAGGACTTGAGAGGGGGGGGGGGTGCAAATCGAAAGGTTGAGGGGGGGGGGGGCAAATTGAAAACTTGAGGGGGGGGGGTGCAAATCGAAAATTTGAAAGTTTGTCCCTGGGAAGGGTCTCTATGCCTCTGGGGGGGTGACACCATTAAGTGCCGCACCGGGTGACACCCGACCTCGCTACGCCACTGTCTTCATGTACGACATAAGGACTCATCTTTCTGTAGGACAAAGTCACCAGCGTTTAGGGCCAATTCACTGCCCTGTAGGACACAATAACCGTCCAGTAGAACTAGTCCACCATGCTAGAAGACCCATCCACCATACTGCAGCATCCAACAACCATTCTATAGGACCATTCACCATAGTGCAAGACCCATCCACCATACCGTAGGACCCATCCACCTTCCTATAGGACGCATCCACCATACCGTAGGACCCATCCACCGCCGTATAGGACCCATCCACCATACTGCAGGACCCATCCACCTTCCTATAGGACGCACCCACCATACTGCAAGACCCATCCACCATACCGCAGGGCCCACTAGCATAGTGCAAGACCCATCCACCATCCAATAGGACCCACCCATCCTACCCCAGGACCTATTCACCGCCTTGTCCTGGGAATGAATGGAACCATCGTGTGTAGGCGTTTGAGCGATTCCTGATGGTCGAGAACCCCCCCCCCCCCACCCTCCCCCACCCCCTCCACGGCCTCTTAACCACGAACCCGTTCACGCCGATGGCTGCGTCAACAAGGCTGCACCCGACGACACCGTTCTGGCACCTGTTCCCGCCTTCTTTTAATGATTCCAATCTGCCAGACACATGCGCAGCCCCCCCCCCCCCCCGTTCCTCTCACAGACTGGAGATGTTACCGGGTCGCAAGCAAAAAAAAAAAACGCCCGGGTCATCTTTTAAGCTCTATTTCACCCTCTCCTATGAAACGAAAAAAAAACTGATATTTTTTTCTGGCTTTTGAAGTACAAAACAGATAACGAAAGATTGGTTTATTTTTTTAAACACATCTTTTTTTTTATTTTCGCTGACGAAGATCTTTCGACGATAAACCAACTCGAATATTTACAATATTTACATTATTTTTCTACTTATTAATTCTTTATTAACACATATTATTATTAAATATTATTATTTAAATAAAGTATTACTTTATTAAATTAATATTAATTGAAATTGAGTTTGGGGGAGTGAAGAGTTATCATAAATTTGGGTGTAGGTGTGCGCCTCTTTTACGCAATAAAAAGATTTTTTTATTTATGAACTGCGACAGATTGCGTCAGCGTTTGTTTATCAACAGAGCGGGAGAGGAAGCCGCGCCTCACAAAGGCTGACTGGGAATAAAAACAAATAGGATTTCTTTAGCCTATTGTTGGCAGGGGTAATGATTTCAATACGATCATATGAGAGACATTTATCATGTGGTTTCTATTTTTTTTTAATGTGATAAAAAGCACGGTAGGTAGATTTTATACATTTAAAGTTAAGGAGGTTGGGGTGGGGACGGTGCTTTTGATTTGATAATCAAATGTCCTTTTTGAAAATAATATAACGGCGTGGTCAAGGGGATAACACGCACAACTGCCAGAACAAAAGTCTAGAGTTCGGTTCCACGATTTTCAGTCCTTATGAAGTCATGAAGTTTACCCAGCCTTGATGGGATAGGTGGTCAATGTGACAGTAACTGGTTAACTCTACTTCATCTGTTCGGGTGGGTTCTGAGGTTCGAACTTTAGGGCGTTTCCCGTCAATATATGTGTGGCATCCACTAAACGTATCGCCCTTTGTAAAACAGCCTGTATTTATAGGTGACTCACCCCCTCTTACCTGCTGACTCCCTGATTGATGTATAGTGACGCCACTCACCCCAACCTTGTGACGTATACAATGCGTCTCCTACCTAATGACGACTCTCCCCTTTATGGCGCATACACTGTGCCCCCCCCCCCCTCCCACTTAACGACGCCCTGGTCGTCACCCCCCCCCCCCTCCACCCTAGCGACGCCATGTTTGCCAAGCGACGCCATCGATAATCCATCACATTTTAAAATAAATTTTGCAAACAATTTTTTCATTAAAAAAAGTATTTTTGAAGATATTTCCAGACCTGTCAATGAAACAAATTAATTTCACATGTTAAAGCAATTGATAAACATAATCGACATGCTTCTACGTATGCCAATATTCAGTACACGCTGCAGATGAATTTAGTAGGACTTCATGAACCCTTTAAAAGGTGGACCTAAATATGAATTTAGTTGGACTTCATGAACCCTTTAAAAGGTGGACCTAAATATGAATTTAGTTGGACTTCATGAACCCTTTAAAATGTGGACCTTAATATGAATTTAGTTGGACTTTATGAGCCATTTAAAAGGTGGACCTCAATATGAATTTAGTTGGACTTTATGAGCCATTTAAAAGGTGGACCTCAATATGAATTTAGTTGGACTTTATGAGCCCTTTAAAAGGTGGACGTCAATATGAATTTAGTTGGACTTTATGAACCTTTTAAAAGGGGGACCTAAATATGAATTTAGCCGGACTTAGTGAGCCCTGAATAAGGTGGACCTACAACACCGTATGAGTTCATGTGACCTGTTTATGTTGTGTTTGTTTGATCCACATACGTGGCATTTATTTGATCCTTAAAATACAAGTGACCACTGTATGTGGTGATCACATGCCCCCTGTGCACATGTGGGTTTAACATGACCCCTGAGACCTATGCGGTTTTCAACTGACCCCTGTAATAAAACATAAAAAAAGATAATAAAAGGCGGATTTGGTTTTGGCACGTAGCCATATATTTTTAATCAGATTTTGTAAGGTAGACTGCAAAAAATTCTCAGCAATGTGTCATGTATCACAATTAGGCTAATTATTTTAATACGAAAAAATTGATTACGGTTAAATTGTGCTAAAACTAAGGGTTCAGTCAATCTCAATCAACATCTTCATTCAACATCTTCATATTCAGTCAACATCTTCATATCCAGTCAACATCATATCCAGTCAACATCTTCATTTCCAGTCAACATCTTGATATCCAGTGAACATCTTTATATCCAGTGAACATCTTGATATCCATTCAACATCTTGATATCCAGTCAACGTTTTAGTCCAGTTAGGATCTTCGTGTCCAGCCTAGATCCCACCTCTGGTCAATATTCCACTGTCCAGTCAACATCGTCGTGCCTAGTCAACAAAGTCATCCGACCATTCAAAAAACCAGACAACTTCTCCCCTAAATTAAAACCCAATTTCAAACAGTTATCTAGAGAAACTTAGCAAAGCCCACCAACCACAGTCATCCACTATTTGCATCATTGACATTGTTGTCGTGTTCAGATATAATAGAAAAATGAGCATTTGAGAAAAGACAATAGAAAAAACAGTGAGAAATTAAAGGGAGGTAAATTGGTTGAGCGTGAGTTTGGACACTGCCTAAGCTTTAAACCGCAATATTTTACATCTAAACAAACGAAAATCTTTGACATTCTGATTAAAAAAAATATTTTTTTAAAAGAAAAAAAAATCAATTGTGTGTTGATAAACACAAATACATTAGAGATAATATTTTATATTATTTTCACCAATATTATTAAAATACATAGGTTCTTCAAGAAAAGGTTAGTAAATTTTGGAACAATATTAATCACGCTTGACTCCACGATTAACATTACATTTACAACAATGAAGAAAGGGTTAATATTTTTCTGTTTGTTTTACCCACGGAATGTAAACTCGGGATATTCAGCCCATTATTACACCAATACATCATCCATCCATACACTCATACATACATATATACTCCCATACATAACCTTTTTCCTTTCCTGCCCTAGAAACATGTAGCAGATGAAGTAGAGTTCATCTGTTTCAAAGACCTCGGCATACAGGGGTAGTGTGATGCCACCCACAGTGAGCAGCTTTATACCCAGCCGCCATAGCTTCGCTAACATGAGTCAGGTACCCATCAGAGCTGGGTGGACTCAGGAACGTCCTACAGACTCAAGCCTGGGGTTCCGAACTCGAGACATTCAGGTTAGCAGTCATAGGTTCTACCATCCAACCATTTAGCATACTAATAGCAAATGTTCAGCTTTAGCATTACATACACAGCATACATTGCATATTTAGCATACATACATTTCAACTATATTTCAACTTAAAAAAGTATTTTGCCTGATAAACATAGTTTCAGCATAAACAGCATGCATTGTGTTTGTTTATTTTCACCGTATATTTTCTGTCATTTACAATAGAGTTGGTTTAAATAAAAAAAAACAGGATTGAAACAAAGACACCAATTAAGAGCTGTTATATGGATTCTTGTCTTAAGGTATGGACGATCATTGGCAATTAACTTAAGATATATACAGCTAATTACATAATCAAAGTAGCTTAATAAATTCCTGAATAAAATACGATAATAGCAAACACAAAATATCAAATAGTTATTTAAAGAAAAGTAAGACAAATAATATAGGCATTTTTATCAAGTAAGTACAAACAGCAACACTCATTAAGGAAAATTATTAAACCATTTTTTTAAATTAATTACTGAGTAAGAATACTAATTAATAGGATATTTAAAATATAATTATAAATCTAAGGATAAGTTTCCAAAAAAAAAAAAAAGATAACTAAATAAGAAAATAAACATTACAGCATCATTGAGAATGTATATAAAGTGATATCGTAATTTTCATGGCATTAAGTAAAGGAAAAAAAAAACATCGGCAGGGAAGGAGTTAATAAAAACAAATGAGAAAAACCTGAGGTACATAACGATTTCAACATAGCTGAGTATTTCAGCAACCTGTTCATAAAATTAATATAATATACATAGATGAAAAAAAAGGCTTACAGTATTTGGATCAAATTACTCTTTTTCTCAATGTTTAATCAACAATTAGCATGGACAGTTTGGAGTAATAGCTTTAACCGGCACAATACAAATTTGTCATGAGTTTTTTTGTTTTGTTTTTTTTGCTTTTACAGATCATACAATAAAGTAATTCTCAAATCTGTAGGTAAATAGGTATCCAGTTATTTATAACAAAACATAAATTAAGTAAATTAATTTTTAGTAAACCTCTAATATAAGTATTAATTTAAAAAAAAAAGCAAAAGCCAATATAACTTTTCACGCCCCTATTATAAAAATTGATTTTAAACAAAGCATAAGCCAAAATAACAATTCGAAATACATTGTTTATTTGGTGATAACTAACACAGTAGACTGACTTGAGGAAACATTTTGAGCACGAGTTTGAGAAAAATCTGGCCACTTTCACTTTGTTTATGCCAATGTGGCTCGGCTGCCCACTGGCGCTGGCTTAGGTTTCTCATACTTGCCTGTACGTGAGGACACAAAGCTCTCGTAGCTGAAAGTAGAGGAATGAGATGTATATGAGGAACACATGACATGAGATTTGTAGGGGGAAGGGGGGGGGGAGGGAACACATAACATGAGATTTATATGGGGGGGGGGGGGAACAGCTAACATGAGATTTATATGGGGACACACACATAAGATGAGATTTATATGGGGGACACACATAACATGAGATTTGTAGGGGGGGGGACACACATAACATGAGATGTGTATGGGGGGGGTGGCACATAACATGAGATTTGTAGGGGGGGGGGGGACACATAACATGAGATGTGTATGGGGGGGAGGTGGCACATAACATGAGATTTGTAGGGGGGGGCACATAACATGAGATTTGTAGGGGGGGGGACACATAACATGAGATTTGTAAGGGGGGGGGGGCACATAACATGAGATTTGTAGGGGGGACACATAACATGAGATTTGTAGGGGGGGGGGGCACATAACATGAGATTTGTAGGGGGGACACACAACATGAGATGTGTATGGGGGGTGCACATAAAATGAGATTTGTACGGGGGTGCGGCACATAACATAAGATTTTTTGGGAGGACACATAACGAGATGTATACGAGGGGACATATAACATGAGATTTACGAGCGTTACCTATTAGGGGTGGGGGTCTACTTTTTGTAAGAATATGGGACGGGTACAGAAAACTATGCGTATTTATTTAGCTTTTTATAACATAAATAAATAAAAGAAATAACTGTTTATCATCGATACAATTTCTTAAATCAAAGCGATCCATCTTGCAAACACAAACCTGCAAACACAGAATTCAAGCCCTAAATATTTTAAGCACGGTGTATTCCAGCGATTAAGACAATATGGAGTTTTATAGGCTCCCAACTTTTATAGGTAAAGGAAAGTTTCAACTTTTGTGATGTTTTTCTTGGCTTAAAAAATGCGTCTTGTATACTAGAAAATTCGGTGTTTTACAATTGTAGTTTCTACAACATTACCAACAGCAAGGCTATACAACATTACCAACATTACGGCTATACAACATTACCAATAATAAGTAAAGTAGTAAAGTTCCCTATCAAACCTGACGGTCTACGGGGCAAGTGAAGTAGAGTTAATCTGTTTCTGTGACCTCGGCATATGAAGGGATAGTGTGGTCAGCACTATGCCCAGCCGCCTTTACTTTCCCTAAAGTGAGTTAGGTACCCATCAGAGCTGGGTCATTCTACCGACTTGAACCGGATTCGAACTTGAGACTACGGGTTAACATTCCAGCTCTCTACCGCTAAGCCACTCTGCCCCTTACCAACGGCAAGGCTATACAACATTACCAACAGCAAGATTATACAATATTACCAACGTTAAAGCTGTACATCATTACCAACAGCAAGGGTATACAACATTACCAACAGCAAGGCTATAGACCTACCATGTTAATGTATACCTTTATTCAACTAATCATTCAACCAAACACCAAAAACATTGATATAACAATGATATATCATTACTCAAACGTCATTCAAACATTATAAGGCAGGTAACAGATCTTGTTTACCTCCACCAGTTTACACGACAAAGGTAATCGCGCAATGGTAAACTGAACAACTACCAGACCTCGTTTTGGTCGCTCAGACAGAGCTACTTCCGCACCTCTCTCCGCACGTTTCGCATTCATCTTTTATTCTGGTGTAAAACGTCCATTTTAAACCCAGTATTTGTTCGACGCTTCCGAGGGGTTAATGCAAAATTAATCCCCTTGTCAACACTTTCGATTGCTGTGGGTCAAGAGAAGATAATGCAAGTTGAATTTAACAAATTGTCCCCCCTGTTTTTTTTAAACCTCGCCAAACAACCCCCCCTCCTAATAAAAATTAAAAAAAGTAAATGAATAAAAGCGAGTTTCGTTTTCAGTGTCGGGGTTGTTTCCCTTTCATCAGCGCCCCGGTTTTATCTGCTAACGCGAGCCAAACACAGCGCGGATTAGCTGCGCTTTCATACTTAATTTGGCTGCTTCCACGGAGCCGGGGAAAATCCGGGGGGACGGGGCAAACTGTGACACGCAAGCCACGACCAAAAAGGGCGGGAAAATGACGAGAACTTACACGCTCGCTGTTTTCAATTACACAACAAAATAAACATACCGCCCCACCCCCTCGTCCTCATCCCCCCCCCCCTCCCCACGGAAATTCCAGGTGGGTTAACATTCCCACCTGTGTGGTTTGAGCCAGTTCCATAACAGTAAGATCAGCCGACAGTCCTCTCTTACACATTGCAGGCCCTTAGCCCTAGACAACAACTACCCCCCCCCCACTCTCATGGCTGATTCCTAGTTAGCCTATCCCCCCCCCCCCCCCATATCATGGGACTTGAACCCCCCCCCCCTCCCTCCCTCCCAGAAACATCATGGTTAAGCCCTAGATAACTACCCCCCACTCTCATGACTGATTCCTAGGTAACATCTCTCCCCCCTCATCATATCACTTGACAAATTTACCCCCCCCCCCCTCAACATGACTGAGTCCTAGGTAACCCCCCCCCCCCCACCCCCTACATCATGGTTAAGCCCTAGACACCCCCACGCATGACTAAGCCCAAGGTACCCCCGCCCCCCACCTCCATAGTTGAGCCCTAGTGAACTACCCCTCTTCATAATTATGCTAAGTAACTGTTCCCCTCCATAGGGAACTACCCCTCTCAATAATTGAGCTATGTTCCCTCAAAGCTGCGCAGTTGCGTGGCCGCGCAGTAGTTTTTAACTGCGGCGCAGTCATTTTGTAAAATATATGTATCCTTATATAAGACTTTTAGAACACCGCGCACACAAAATATACGTTCCACACGATTTTTTTCGTCTTAGAGGAAACATTGGTGACTATCAATCCCCCCCCCCCCCCCCCATGGCTGAGCCCTAGTGAACTCCGCCCACCACTGAGCCTTAAGAAACTCCCCACCCTACAGTTGGGCAGACAAAAATTGCACTGCGTTGGAAGAAAGTCTCAGTTCTTTCAACATGGGGTAAGAAAACACCACTTTTTCAAATTGATTTTTAATAGAGGCAAAAGTCTAACCGGAAATAAACAACAAAACAAAAACAATCGCTACAAACCAACTAGGAGCTTAGAACTCGCGAATTTGATAAATCAGAAAGAAAAAAATTATGAGCGAGAATCCAGGAACAACAGAGACAAGTATTTCCCCCAAATTATGCTGAGTACTTATCACAGCTGACTTAACTCATGAAACTTCAAAGACTGTAACAGTAAACCAATTTACAATTTTATTTCTTACGCATTGAATTCGATATTAGAATTCAATACTTAAACTCAAAGGATTTTTTTTAAACATTTGACAGACTCGACTTCAAATCATAGAAAATATCTTCAACTCAATACATCATACGACGTTTGCTTTGTCGAGATATCAATAGGCAGTTCGTAGTGATCTCCCCTTGCATAAACTTATGGCGCGGCACTCGGCACAAAAAACAGAGATCGGGTGATGCGAAAATAATGCGGATTAAACCCGGGGATTAGGCAGATCGGTTTAGCAAATACTGAAACTTTAAAAAAAAAAATTAATGTATAGATAGCACAGACTACCCGCTGTTTCATTTTCTGTTTTGGTTTAAAATCATTTGCGTTTGAATGCCTTAGTGGGTTACAACAATACGCGGGTTTTATGGATCTTTTATAGTTTTTCTCAATAACCTAAATATAAGAATGGCAATGATCCATATATGTGTGTATATATATATATATATATATATATATATATATATATATATATATATATATATATATATATATATATATATATATATATATATATGTGACGAGCGAACATTTACCCTGCTCGCAGCGCCAATTGTGACGAGCGAACATTTATCCTGCCGACAACGCCAATTGTAACGAGCCAACAGTTACCATGCTCGCAACGCCACATGTAATGAGACCTAATTGCCTGTAGTGCCACGTGTTAACGAGTTTAACCACTCATTCTAGACAACATTGACCACAGTATAGATACTCAAGATGCAGGTTCGCTATTGATCCTTTATTACATGAATCAAGAAATGCTTCATAATAACACAATAAATCAACAGGAATGCTTCTCAATAATAGTCTGAATCAACTGACCCCTAACAGTCCTTCACTAGGCTTCATATAACTGAATCCACATGTCTATAATCCTCCTTAACACAATACGGCTAACCCGTTCTATAACCGACTTGACATAGTCACACAGACTGACTGATCTAAGCGAGCGATGAAAGAGGCAAGAGGGGAAAAGGGTCGAGCTCCGCCGTCCCCCCCCTATTTATCCCTTGAAATCGTAGTCGTACTTGTATCCATTTCCGTAATCGATACTTGTAATCGATGTCTCCGAATACTAGTTGCGCAGTTCTACGTACAGTCCGACTAATAAAACACCTGCATCCTATCCATCAAAGTTGACAGCTCGTCTGAAACTTCTCGTACCGTTTCCCAAAATAGCACGCGTTGGCTTTGAGATTGTTATCAGACCGATCCAATAAGCCACCTGTTATAGTTGCGTCAGATTTCATACTGCGCCGCGGCTTCTCGTTCGTTATCATTTGTAACTGGTAGTTAGGCCTACCCCAGTTACATCCACCCCTGCTTTTTTTGTGTGTTTTCAACCACAAACAACGCCTGGCAGGTGCACTCCTCCAAAGTCAATCGCACAGTCGTAAAAAAAAAAATTTATTGTTCCACTCACTGTCCACGACGTTCCATTCTTTACGATTGACAGTTCTACCTATTTCACATATCAACTGTGTCTACATCATCTTCCTGAGACACAAAACAGTTCTAGAATTCACATCCACCCTTTCCATTTGGTGCCTTCACCAGTTCACTTCTATAGCTCTTTGAACAGTCTGTTTTCATACCAGCGCGACCATGAAAGAATTGATGGTTGCTGACAAAAAATTTCGTATTCCTTCTGTTCCTTAAACTTCTCCGCGGACCACTTATCCGATGGTCTACTGTCTCTCTGCTTCT